AAACTTTGTCTTACTTAAAACTGCAAAGCTGGTGGTGGAAATGTAGACGAGAAGACAGGGTGGGAGGAGACAGAGGAAAACAACAGGGACGCCTCACCTCTGGTTGGTTGGAAAAATTCATGTACTGCAGGGAGAGGTCAAAGTGTGTCTGCTCCTGGCTGCAAACAGGCCTATTAGGTTTGCTGTTAATAAATATGATGGAGCTGGGGGTGGGGGTGGGGTTCTTTTTAAAAAATAAAGCTTTGGTTAGTAAAGCCAGAATCTAGAGGGGGCTCTTTTATTTTCAACCCTGAAAAGTTTTTAAGAAAACAGTCCACTCAGTATATTATCATTAGTACTAATATCATTTTGAAACTTTTACACATAGAGAATAAAGCATGATTTTCAATGTATACTGAAATTCATCTAGAAATGAAAGAAGTTAAGAAAATCTGAATAAACTTGAACATTTTTTTCCTAAACAGAGGTACTCTCAAAAGCGAGTAATTTTACAATGTGAAAAACTTAACCCTACATTGTTGAGATGAGTAAAAATGGAAGAGCCCTGGAAGGTGCACAGTGCGTGTGTGTGTGCGTGCGTGCGTGTGTGTGTGTGTGTGGAGCTGGGCAAAGCAGTTTCCCCTTTCTTCAAGATTTGTTGATTTTCAGGGAAAATCTTAGCTCTAGGGGGTCGTTTCCGTATGGGAGAGCGACCCTAAAAAAGAAGTATTTTAATGCCAATCACTGCAGTCACAGTTTATGAACCTGTAAGGGATCAAAACTAGGGACGGCAGAGTCCCACACCGGGCAGATCTGGCACGAGGCATGCTTTCTTATGAGTTAAGATGAGACGGCGGTGTCGGGGTGGTGGGGGCAGGGGGGGGCTCTGGATTCTGGAGAATTAACAACGCCCCACGCCTCCCCTTGGGAAGGCCTTGGTGAAAGGGGAGAGAGCTGATTTCCCCACCCCGGCGCGCTCCTTCCCCCGCCCCTCACCCGCACCCCCCCCCCCCCCCCCCCCCCCCGCCCAACCCCCCCCCCCGTGCCCCGTCTGCAGAGGCGCGACGCCCCCAGCGAGCCTGGCGCCTTGACTGCCAGCGCGGGGGATCGGGCGGGGGCTGCGGAGAGGCCCAGGGCACATGACGGCTCCCCCCCTCCCCACCCCCGCCAAGGGCCGGACCAGCACATGACCCGGGCCGGCCGGCGGGGTCCAGGCACACCCGAGCCCCATCCCCAGCACGGACCATGGCCTCCCCGCGCCTGGGGACCTTCTGCTGCGCCACGCGGGACGCCGCCACGCAGCTGGTGCTGAGCTTCCAGCCGCGGGCCTTCCACGCGCTGTGCCTGGGCAGCGGCGCGCTCCACCTGGCGCTCGGCCTCCTGCGGCTGCTGCCCGGGCGCCGGTCCGCGGGCCCCGGGCTCCCCTCGGCCTCCCCGCCGGCCACGGCCCGCACCCCGGCCTCCGCCCGCATCCTGCGCGCCGCCGCCGCCTGCGACCTGCTCGGCTGCCTGGGTGAGGGCGCGCCCGCGGGTGGGGACCCGTCCGCGCGCGGTTGAGGGCGCGCGGCCCGCAGGTCGCTCCCGGCCGGGGGCGTGGATGAGCGCGCGCGGCCCCCGCCCGGGACCTGGTCGCCGCGCGGGTAAGGACGCCCGGCCCACGGGTAGGAGGGCCGAGCCGGAGGCGGCTCCCCAGGGGCCGGACTGGACGACCAGGGGACTCTGCGATACAAGATGGTCGGTAAAAGTTCCTTCGGGGGACCGTTGTTTTTTTTGTTTTTTAAACAGGTTGATGTATTTGTTATTGCACTTATAGAGAAACTTTAGACGGTGCTGTGAAGGAAAACCCAGAAAACACAATGCATCCCTAACTGTACCACTAGTGAGAGACTAACAGTTAATATTTCGTGCGCGTGCACACACACACAAAATCGTTTCCAAAATGATTTAGCAGAATCAGGAAGAAACCCATAAATATATATACACATATATATATATAAATGTGTGTGTATATATATATGTGTATATATATATGTATATATATGTATATGTGTATATATATGTATATATATGTTTATATATTACACTTTTATTTACTTGTTTATTTATATATCTAAGTTTGGGTTTTATACCACAGATGGGCAAACTTGCAGCCTTTAGGCCACATCCTGCCTGCTGCCTCTTATCTATGGCCCAGGAACTAAGAAAGTTTTTACATTTTAAAGTGTTTTTAGAAAAATCTAAAGAAGACTGTTTCTGACATGTAAACATTCCATGAAATGTAAATGGCAGCGTCCGTAAGTGGAGTCTTATGGGGATACAGCCATGCCCTGCACTTGTGCCTCGTTTGGGGGCATCTTGGCCCTAAAAGGGCAGAAGTGAGTGCTGAACAGAGAAACTATGGCCCGTAGAGCCTAAGATATCTTCTCTCTGGCCCTTTACAGAGACTTTGTTGACCCCTGCTTTCAACTCCAGCACGGCACATTTTACAAACCTCTATGCTAGATATTGCCAAGCATTTTAACTTTTTTATTTTGGAAATTTTTTAACATATGCAAATGTAGAGAGATTGTATAACAAACTCCCTGTACCCATCACCTAGCTTCATCTATACCCCATCCCCGTATCCCACTCTCCACTGGGTTAATTTGAAGCAGATTCCAGAATTTATATCATTTCACCCACACAAATCTCAATATATAGCTGTAGAAGATAAGAATTTTTAAAAAACATACATATCACACAGATATCACTATCACCCCAAAATAATGAAAACCAGTTCCTTAATATCACTGGTGTACGTTCAGGTGTCTCATAAATGCTATTTTACAACTGGTTTTTTCAAATCAGGATCCAAATACTGTCCATGTTTTGTAATTGGCTGACAGGTGCTGGCATTTTGGAATTGTGTTTTTCAGTCGTGTTTGCTCTTGAAGGAAAGGCTGCTGGCGGTATTTGAAGTGCCTTCCACCGCTGTGCCGTGAGGGGGCAGCAGCTTCTGGGGCCCCTTGAGTGCTTCTCTGGGCACAGGTGGCTGTGTGTCCCAGGGCCTGGTTCTCCTGTTCCTGGTTGTGTGATTGGAGACACTCAAGAATCTTGGCTTCAGATAAATGCTATGGAACCTCTAGTCACTTGCTTAGACTCGAGGAGTAAGACAGGAAGCTATAGCGATAAAATCAATTTGGTGCAGGACAATAAAATAAAAAATTGGTTTTCTTCCTGATTCTGCTAAAGCATTTTGGAAAAGCATCTTAATAATAATCTAGTTTCTGTAACTTGAATATCTGAAAATAGAGCTGCACGCAAACATCTTTTGAGAGTCAGCAAAGTAATATTCGTATATCCTTTGGCCTTTAGAAGGAAGGTGCATGACATTGCGGGCAAATGGGCAGAAGCAGGAGTTAGGGGAAGGCTTGGTGACCAGAACTCCTCGCTGAAAAATAAGAAATACAGGGCTTCCCTGGTGGCGCAGTGGTTGGGAGTCTGCCTGCCGATGCTGGGCACACGGGTTCGTGCCCCGGTCCGGGAAGATCCCACATGCCGCGGAGCGGCTGGGCCCGTGAGCCATGGCCGCTGAGCCTGCGCGTCCGGAGCCTGTGCTCCGCAACGGGAGAGGCCACAACAGTGAGAGAGCCGCGTACCGCCGAAAAAAAAAAAAAAAACAGAAATACAGATGCCTATCTCACGGGGTGGTTTTTTTCCCCCAGTTTTTTTTTAAATATCTTTTTTTTTTTTTTGGCCACACCGTGCAGCTTGTGGGATCTCAGTTCCCTGACCTGGGATTGAACCCGGGCCACGGCAGTGAAAGCACAGAATCCTAAATACTAGACCACCAGGGAACTCCCTCCCCAGTTTTACTGAGACATAATTGACATATAGCACTGTATAAGTTTAAGGTGTACAGCGTAATAACTTACATTATCATGAAATGACTACCACAACAAGTTTAGTAAATATCCATCACCTCATATAGATACAAAAAAAAAAGTGTTTATCGAGCTCAAAGCAGAGCTCTGGACTGAAAACGACAAAGCACTATGTGGACGCAAAGCATTATTTTTGTTATCTGTGCTTAAGAATGAGAAGCTGTATCTTAGGCTTTTAGTGTTCATACTCACCCTTTTAGTGGTATATGACACAGTGTATATTTGGTAGCATGTGACATAGTGTATATTTCTGTATGTGAAATACAGACACAACACTAGTGTGTAACTCTGTACTGCTCACAGGTCCCCTTGAGCAGGGTGTTACATAGTGAATGCTTAAACAAAGGCTATCTATCGAATTACTTAACAAAGAACCCTAATATATGCCTTACGTGTGTATACTGTGTTGAAGAGAATTAGATATTTGGGAATAGCAAGGAAAACTCACAAATAATAAATGGCAAAAGTAGATTATCAAGAGCTAATTTGTGAAAATCTTAAATGTATATTTTTTAAAGAATGAAAGAACTATCTTTTTAAACTTCAGAATGTGCTTTCTCAATCATTCTTTTTTATGTGAGGACTAGTTAACTTGGACATTAAAAATATAGCCAAGAAATATAAATTGTTATTCACATAATCCCTTCTGGGTGCCAAATAAACAAACAGACAACATTAGGGACAGCACTGTGGCTAATGGTGGCTGAAGTTGAAATCAAAGTGCCTGGGATTGCTCCACTACCATAATGATTATTTTCTGAGTCTTATTTTTTTCTCTGTCTCTCTGCACACACCAGCGTGTTTCTTTCCTCCCTGTCTCCCTCACATCTTTCTCTTTCCCTTCCTACCTATCTATCTGCCTATCTATCCATCCATCCATCCATCCGTCCATCCATCATTTTTACAGAGTCAACAAGTCACCTTTAGATTTGCATTAGGAGCAGATTAAAGCATCACCTGATTCTCCCTTAGGTATCACAGTCCGGTCTACGGTGTGGTTAGGGTTCCCGAGTTTCGTGGACGACATCTCAGCCGTGAACGGGACAGACGTGTGGCCCACCGCCTTCTGCATGGGGAGTGCAGTAAGTGTACCTCCCCTGGTCTCCCCCTTCCCTCCCCTTTGCCCCGCTCCGTTACGCTGTGTCCTCAAAGTGTGGTCGCATCCCTCCCGCCAGCCCACTGTAGCTTTTAGAAATGCACACGCTCAGAGCCCTCACCCCACTGACCAGGGACCCTGGGGTGCGGGCCGTCTGTGATTTAACAAACCCTCCAGGGGCCTCTGACCCACACTGCAGTTTTAGAACCACTGTGCTAGTATGTTTGCCATCCCCACCCTTAAACACACATTCAATCCTTACCTTAGATCCAGCCACAATCAAAACCAGCTGGGCAAAAAAAGAAAAAAGAAAAAAAAAAGTTACTGATTTAATGGATGTATTTACTTAACAAAATATATATTTAAAAATAGCCATTTGTCCATCCATATTGCTCTGTCCGCCAAGTTAACACTCCAGTGAATGACCTCAAAGGACACTGGTACCCTGTTGACCCGCCATCTGTGCCACAGCCGTCAGCATCTCTCCCTTCCTCCCCTCTGTTGCTTCCTAGCTGCATCCCGATGGAGCCTCCGTCTTAGTAAATAGATCTCGTGCTGCTTCTAACGTACGGAGTCCCCCCCCACCGCCTTCCTTCTACTGGGAAGGTCCTTCCTGCCCATCCTCCTTGGTCCTCAGCAGGAGGGCTTCTGGTTCAAAGAGCTTCATGCCGGGCCAAGCCGCACACCTGAGCCTTCCATCTCCCTGACCACAAGCGTAGCACAAGGCAGGGCTCGCTGGGCCCGGTGCAGCTGAGCAGACAGGGCACCCAGGCGCACGCCCGTCCCAGGCCACATCCCGGCCTGGGTTTCCAAGCCTCTCCGGAGGGCTTTCACGTGCTGCCCCGTGACGTCAGAGGAAGTGGGCGTCTGCCAGCTCATTTCACAGAAACCCATGTCCAGGAGCTCTGATGCCGGCTCTTCCCGATTACAGATGTGGATCCAGCTGCTGTACAGCGCCTGCTTCTGGTGGCTGTTTTGCTATGCGGTCGATGCCTACCTGGTGATCCGGAGATCGGCGGGACTGAGGTATTCAGAGCAAGCCGGCTGGCTTCTGCCCTAGTTTGTTGCCTGAGGGAAGGTTGGAGACACCGCTGAGCGCTGCATCTCTGTACGGCAGACACAGCTGATCAGAACCTTTCAGCTGACCCCTCCACCGAGAAACATCTGTGCAGCTCATTTTTATAAAAGGCTGAAGGCACAATCGAAATATCGAGGATTTCTCCGGGTGCCCCCTACCAGAAAAAAACAGGATTTTAAAACCCTGAAAACAGTATTTCAATAGATTAAATATTTGGAACACGACAAAGACTTAAAAAAAAATAAGAATTGGCATGAAAATAAAAAATTCTGATGGTGTCTAAAGGTTTAGGAGAAAAGTTCTTAGATGTATGTATTGATACAGGATGCTAAATATGGAGCCCAAGGGTTCTGGAGCTGCCAGGGGCTGCCTGGGAGGAACCCAGGAAGGGTTAGTGCCTGGGTCCTGGTGGGTTCAAATTCCTGCCCCATCACTCACTAGCTGTGTGACTGTTGGCAAGTGGCTGAACCTCTCTGGACTTCCGTTTTCTCAGCTGTAAAACAGCACCCACCACCTCAGGAGGTTCCTGGAAACAGTAAATGTGATAGTACCCGTGGATGGTTATGGATGGAGCCTGGCACGTAGCAGGCGCTCAGTAACGGGGAGCTGGGGTTGGAGCTGGGATGTGCACGTTATGGAGGAGACAGAAACACAGAGAACCTACGTGCCAAAGAGAAGCAGGAGGGCAGGCGGGTGTCCTGCTCTCCTGGCTCCAGGCGCAGGAAGGATGGGTCCCCGACCAAGTTCGTGGCGCACTTCCATTAGGCCCCCTTTGCATGGAGCCCTTGTTTGCTTTTTTCTTTTTAAATAGCTTTATAAAGTTCATCTGTTTAAATGTATAAAATCCATTGTTTGTGAGCATATTCACAGAATTGTGTAACCATAACCATTATTTGGCTTTATGACGTGTTATTCATCCCCCAAATCTCTGTACTGGTTACGAGTCATTTCCCATTCTTCCCTCTCCCGCAGCTCCTGGTAACTTCACATCTACTGTCTGTCTCTGGATTTGCCTGTTCTGGACAGTTTCTGTAAATGGAATCATACAATGTGTGGCGTTTTGTATCTGGCTGGTTAAACTTGGCCTGTTATTTTCGAGATTTATCCATATTGTGGCACGCAGCAGTTCTTCATTCCTGTGCGTTGCTGAATAATATTCCATTGTTTCGCTATCTGCCTTTTACCCGTTTATCAGTCACTGGACTTTTAGGTTGTTTCCATTGTTTTGACTGTTACGAATAATGCTGCAATGAATATTTGTATGCAGGTGTTTGTGTGGACATATGTTTCCGCCATATACTTATGGGTATACACCTTGGAGTGGAATTCCTGGGTCATATAGTAACTCTGTATAACCTTGTAAGGCACTGCTGAACTGCTTTCCAAAGACTCTGTACCATTTTACCTTTGCACCAGCAATGTGTAATGGTTCCAGTTTCTCCGCATGCTTGATAACAACACTTGTTTTCTGTGTGTTTGGTTTTTTGAGATTTTAGCCATCCTGCTGTGTGTGAAGTGGTATCTCATTGTGGTTTTGATTTCCCTGATAACTAATGATGTTTAGCATCTTCTCATGTGCTTATTGGCCATTCGTGTACTTTCTTTGGAGAAATATCTCTTCGCTTCCTTTTTCCAGTTTTTTTTTTTTTTTTTTCCAGTTTTTAACTGGGCTGTTTGTCTTTCTTATTATTGAGTTATAGGAGTTCTTTATATATTCTGGATACAAGTACCTCATTAGATATATGATTTACAAATATCTTCTCTCATTCAGCAGGTTGTCTTTTCACCTACTTGGTGGTACCTTTTGAAGCATAAAAGTCTTTCATTTTGATGAAATCCAGTTTTTGTGTTTTTTTCTCTTATTTCTCGTGCTTTTGCTGTCATCTAAGAAACCAGTGCCTAACCCGAGGTCACAAGGATTTATACCTTTGTTTCCTTCTAAGAGTTGTATAGTTTGAACAATTTTATTTAGATCTTTGAATTAATTTATGTGTGGAGGTGAGGATAGGTCCGCCTTTATTCTTTTGTAGGTGGATATCCAGTTGCCCCAGCACCACTGGTTCAATAAATTCACTTTTAAAACCAACGTGAGTAACCAAATAAAGACATATTAAGCTATAGACTACACGGGGCAATCTTAGTGAATCACCACTCTAAAATCCTTGGTATTCCTGACGTATATCACATCATCATTCACTTTGTCTCTCTGGCCTGAAATTTAGTACTCTCTTCATTTTTGCGTTTCTTTCTTCTACCTTTTTGCCTTAGTTCCCAAGCTCTTACACATCTGTACAAAACCGAGGTATACTTGGTTGTGAAAATTCTGTAGGGAAGACAGTTAAGGTTAAAGGTTGCCAACCAGGTATATCAGTGAGAATTAGTTTTGGCTACATAAAATACATAAAACAATAGTGACTTAAGATGGGAATTTCTCTTTCACGCTAAAAGAGGCCAGAGGTAGGCAATCTAGGGCTCTTATGCTGGAAATCAGGGACCCAAGCTCCTTCTCTCTTTCTGCTCCACCATTCTATTATGTGACTTCCATCCTCAAGGTATCATGGCCCAGTATGGCTGCTGGAGCTCCAGTCATCACATCAGCATTCCAGAAAACAGGAAGGAGGTAGGGGGCAATGCAAAAGGGGCCTGTTGTCCCCTGAGCCAGATCCCTTTAAGCAGGGACCTGTTTTAAGCAGGCCTGCTGTCCATGAGAGTTTTACACAACAATAACATTTTCATGTTATTGGCCAGAACTTAGTTTTCTGTCCACACTTATCTGTAAGAGGAGGTAGGAAATACAGTTGATTATCCAAGCGTGCTGCTGCTCTGCCTGACATCCAGGTTCTGTTGCTGAGGAAAAGAGGGAGAATGACTTTGGGTAGGCAGCAAGCAGGAGGAGACCTTGTCCCAGAAGCTGAGTGCAAGTGGGATGGTTCCCTCACTCAGTTTGGGAGGGATCGGAGCTAGGACACAATTAGAGGTCTCACAGACCACCACTCAGTTGTGGAGATAAGAGGAACCTTGGAGCACCGAACAGAAGCTAGAAGAGTATGTCTCCTGCTGTCATAGGAAATGCACCTCCACCCGTGAGGGACTGGAGTTGGACAGGGCTGAGTGACAGCTCTCTGGACCCGGAGAACAGACAGAGCCCTCAGAAGCCAGGACAGGCGATCAGGAAGCCCTCCTCACACCCCGGCGGGTGTTTGGAATTCATCTTGGAGCTTGGCGTTAGGATAGGCAGAAGTCCGCGGATGTGCAGGGACTAGAGGACGCCAGGCTTCCGAGGACCCACCCATCGAACAGGAGGCGGCCCTCCAGGGATGCCAAACACCCAGATGCCTCCCAAGGACAGGGTTCCAGGGCTGGGAAGACCGTCGGCGGTGAAGTGGGCTCTCCCATCAAAAAGGAGCGGGCCCACAGCAGAGAAATAAGACGGGTGCTCTCTAGCCACGGAGACCCAGCCCCGACCTCGTCCCTAGCACAAGTCACGCTTCCCAGGGTGAGGTCTCTGAGGGGCCAGCCCGGGGTGGTTTAGAGCCAGAGCTGAGCGTGCGGGTCCAGAGCCTCTGGAGCCCCTCTCTGAATCGCCAGCTTGTTTGCAGAGCCGAGGGCGGAGTGGATGCTGTAGGTGGCAATGAAGAACCTGCAGCTGGTGGAGAGGGGTCCCGAGGAATTCCCAGGCAGGGGGCCAGACTCCTCCGGTATGGAGGGATTAAACTCCATATTCCCTTCTAGATCCTTCCAGCATTCAGCTGTTTCCTTTGGCGCGGGAGAATTTTCCCTAAGCAATGTCATTAAGGCAGATTGAAAGTTAACATGTAAACTGCCTCTTGGGCTCCAGGTGCGGGAGACGCACGTTTTAGCCATGCCGGCTGGCACCTGAGATCCCGGGAGAAGCTCTGCTTGCCCTAAGAAAAGGGGAGTGTGAGAGCAAAGAGGGTCGTGGGGGGCGGAGGGGCCTTCGCGTGCCTGCACGTGAAAACTGGCTTGCCGTCAGAAAAAGGGATGAGGGTCTTCAGCCGGGGCTGCTCCGGATCGATCCGCCACGGCCACATGGGTGTGGCTTTCTGGCTGTATCGGTTATTGACGTGGCCGCGGCCTGGGTCCCGCGGCCGGCTCTGACTTCCCCCCCCTCGTGGGCGTTTGGGGCCGAGGGGAACCGAGGGCCGGGCTTTGGGGAGCGCGAGCTGGCCTCGCCCTCCCACCCAGGAGATGACCCCAGGGGCTCCCTGCAGCCCAGGCTTGGCGTCTGGAACGCAGATGCCACCCTGCCACGGCCCAGCCCCTGCGCAAAGCTGCTCCTTAGTTTCCTGAGTGTCCGGCAAAGCCTGTGACTTGTGGGCAGGACAGACCCCCGCACGCTCTCAAAGCCGGACGGGCAGGGAGGGGCTGCTCCAGAACCAGCAGTGCCAGGGGAGGCGAAGGTGCAGCCGCGTCCGCGTGGCCGCCCAGTGGGCCGGCTGTGCAGTGTCTCCTCCCTGAAGCATGCCCTCTGGGCCATCTCTCTTCCCTCCCGTCTCCTTGTAGAAGGGCGTCCTTCACTGCATCCCTGACCACGCCCTTTGTCCCCACGGCGGGTCCGCAGGGTTAAAGTCCTGATGGGCCAGGGGCTGCACCCTTTGCCAGGCGTCTGGCAGAGGGTTTTTTAAAAAATTTATTTTATTCATTTATTTTTGGCTGCGTTAGGTCTTTGTTGCTGCGCGCGGACTTTCTCTAGTTGCAGCGAGCAGGGGCTACTCTTCGGGCTTCTCGTTGAGGTGGCTTCTCTTGTGGCGGAGCTCGGGCTCTAGGCGCGCAGGCTTCAGTAGTTGTGGCACGCAGCCTCAGTAGTTGTGGCGCACGGGCTCAGTAGTTGTGGCGCACAGGCTGAGTTGCTCCGCGGCATGTGGGATCTTCCCGGACCAGGGCTCAAACCCGTGTCCCCCTGCATTGGCAGGTGGATTCTTAACCAGTGCGCCATCAGGGAAGTCCCATCTGGCAGAGTTTTGAGTAACGGTGGGCACCTCTGAGGGAGCAGCCCCGGGCCACGTCCCATTGCACAGAAGAGGCAAACAAAGGCTGTCTTGGAAGAGCGAGGTAGCTCTGCACGGGCTCAGGTGGTCCATCGTCCTGACCCCACCTGCAAGGCTGGCTGCCTCGAATCTCTCAGGGGGACAGGGTGGGGTGTGTGGGAGTACAGAGGTGAAGGATGGAGATGGTAACAATGAGAGAATTTGAACTATGCAGGGAATGGGGGGTAGGGGGACAAGATAGGAAACCTCCCCGCTGTCCTGGAACATCAAACCACCACGCATTTCTTAGAGACCTTCTTCTTGGTTTGGACTGAGCAATAAGACGCTTGCATATTAGGTACGGAGGTGACTTCAGGAAGGACAGAGGCCAGGAGTTGCTTGCCTACTGGGGGAGCCAGGCACTTAGGAGGAACTATGAGGTACCCGTGCCTCACTCCTCTCAATCTTTTATTTATTTATTTAGTTAGTTAGTTAGTTGTGCCAGGTCTTAGCTGTGGCAGGCAGGCTCCTTAGTTGCGGTCACCTGCTCCTGAGTCGCGGCATGCGCGCTCCTTAGTTGCAGCAGGCGGGCTCCTTAGTTGAGGCATGCAGGCTCCTTAGTTGTGGTATGCAAACTCTTAGTTGCAGCATGCATGTGGGATCTAGTTCCCCGACCAGGGATAGAACCCAGGCCCTCTGCAGTGGGAGCGTGCAGTTTTAACCGCTGTGCCACCAGGGAAGTCCCCTCTTCTCAATCTTGAAAGGCTTAGGTTGAGGGAAAGAAGCCAGACACGAAAGGCCACGTCGTGTGTGACTCCCCTTGGATGAAATGTCCGGAACAGGCAAATCCACAGAGACGGGGGGTAGATGAGTGGTTACCAGGGCCGGGGGCACAAGCATGACGGGGAAAGCCCACTGGATGGGTCCGGGTTTCCTTCTGGGGGGATGAACATGTTCTGGAACTGGATAGAGGGGGTGCTTGCACAGCACTGTAGATGTCCTAAATGCCGCTGAGTTGCTCATTTTTAAATGGTGAGTTTGATGTTATATGAATTTCACCTCAATCAGAGGAAAAATAAAAACCTCCCAGGCAAAATCGGGCAGCCGTTTGCCAAGGGTTTGCTCTGTGTGCATCTTCCTGCCGCTCGCGGAGCTCGGGGCTTGGTCAGTGCTGGACCTCAGGCGTGGCCGCCCCTCTGCCCCTTCTTCCCCCAGTACCATCCTGCTCTACCACATGATGGCCTGGGGCCTGGCCGCACTGCTCTGCGTGGAGGGAGCATTCATGCTGTACTACCCTTCCGTGGCCAGGTAAGCTGGGGCTCCCAGCAAGCCCACTCCCCCGACGCCTGGACCCGCCCCCCCCCCCCCCCCCCGCCTCTCTTGCAGGAGACGCCCGGGCGCTGACCCCGAGCGGGCGGGCAGGCCATCGTCCTGGATCTGTGCAGCTGAGAGCACAGTGGCTGGCACCTTGAGTTAGCGTCCCTGCCTCTGCCTGTCCCCTGCGTGTGGGTCGGTGTTGTGCGCGGTGTGGATGCAAAGCTGGGGGCACGGCTCCCCCGTACCAGCCTGTGTGCCAGCCTCCAGGCCTGTCCCCCTCCAGACGGACGCAGCCTTCCCCTGCCCACTGTTTATTTTTCATTCTTCAAACCAGCTTCCTCTGGGCGAGCAGGTGAGTTGAGCGTCCCAAGAATGAGTTGGAGATGGCTGGAAGACACAAAGGGTCGCTCGCTCTTGACAAGCTTATTTTAAGCCTCTGCTGTCTGCACTTTCTCACCTCTCTCCATCCTGTGCTGTTCTGAACACAGACACTGGGCGATGTGGCCTCTGAAATTGTCTCAGGCATTTCTTCAAGTTTAAAACCCCATCAGTGCAACCATTTGTAAAGCCTCAAGGTCCCTCCAAGGATATATACTCTAATTTTCAATGGAAAGCTGAAAAACAGAGGTTGGACATTGTCTCTTTGTCTGTGACTTCAGGGCAGTGTACACCCGGGATCAGCACAGCGCAGCCCTCAGGACAGATCCGGCCCTCTGCCCTGCTCTTGTAAATAAAGCTTTATTCGCACACAGCCGTGCCCATGTGTGTATGTATGGTCTACGGCCAGTTACACATTAGAGCTGAGTAGTTTGACAGAGGCTATGAGGGTTCTGGAGGCTAAAATATTGACTATCTGCTCCTTTACAGAAAAAGTTTGCTGACCTGTGGTGCAGACCGTTTCTGCCCCTTCTTTTTCGATTTCTTGTAGCCACTCACTCAGATGTCTCCACGTTGGTGTTGCTTTGTGGCCTCTGGGTAGATCCCTCCAAACAGCCCACTCTCCCCAGGAACCCTAAAAGGACAAATACAGAGTTAGCAGCTGTTACAGAGGGATGCACTTAATTGGAAAGGGAGTTTTTATCTCTGGCCTCCACCTGTGAGATCCTGGGGACGTTGCGTCTGAGCGCGAGGGAGCCATTGCTGCAAGGACACTCAGGAACGCCAAGGTGCCCCGCGGTCTCCAGGCCGCCCCCTGAAGCATCTCCGTCCTTCCTCATATCCACCCTCAGAGCCCACGACGACCCAGAGCCCTCGGCGCTCTGCAGGCTCCCACCCTCTCTCGTTGGTTCCTTACGTTCAGTACAGGCACCCGAATCTCATCTCTCCCCCCTCTTGTTTCCCTTTCTCCCCTCAAGCCCTTCCCGACCACAGTTTAGCTTTCGCAGCTCAAGAGGAAAGCTTCTGTTAAAAAGGAGGTAGCAAAAAAAATAATAATAATAAAATAAAAGAAGGTAGCAACACAACATTGTAAGTCAACCATACTCCAATAAAATACGGCTTTCAGGGTAAAAAACAAAACACGCAAACCAAAAAACAGAAAGAAGGCACCATCCTCAGGTGGTACTGTCATCCTTAAGGCAACAAAGATGGGCACTGCATTTTTCTTCCCTGTTTCCATGCACTTTCAGCCACTTTCCCCTCTGGTGTGAGCACTTCATACCTATGAAAACGAGAGCAGTAGCGTTTTTATCACTCCACCTTCCGTGGCCACAGGAGCTGTTCCCTCCTCTGCTTTTCCACCCCGTCTGGGGTCGAGCCTGGGCAACATCCCCTCTGCTTTGGATTCTCTCTTCCTCTTTGCCGTTCTCCTCTACACTATGGATTTGTTAACTGATAGCCCCGGTCTTGGTAGCATACTTGTGTGTGGCACCCACCGTGTCCTGTGGTGATAGATGATTCTCAAGACCCATCAGTAGAAATCCGGGTCCCCCTCCCAGAAAAGAACCCCTGAAATGATTACCTGTCACCATGACAACAGATATCCTGTGCCGTGTGAGGCTCGGGTATTTTGAGCTGGTCGAGGACAGAGCTTGGATCCTATGCGTGATGTCAGCCAGACTTAGCACATGCGTAGTAAGTGCCGAAAACCCAGCAGGTTCGTAGAACGCCTTTGTCTTGTTTGAAAGACAAATGGGGGAGACCCACTTGTTTGAGAGACCCAGTGGGGGAGTTGGGGGGGATCCACCACCCCAGAGCGCCTTTTCCCCTCTTCAGCTTTTCCCAGCAGGGAACTTTGAAAGCTCCCTGATTCACGAGACACACAGAACCATGAGTGACCCTCCTTCTTCTGAGATTGATCGCTTGTCCGCAGACGTGAGATAGGAGTCAGGTTTCCTTCGGGCAGAGTCAGAAGCCGATCTGTGTGTTTCCTTCGATCTGGTCCTCTTGTCTCGACTTGCAGATGAGTCAGCGTATCTCAGGCAAAGCCCCGGTGTTTTGGAGAATGACCCGGCTTTCCTCCCTCAGGTGTGACAGGGGTCTGGAGCACGCCATCCCCCACTATGTCACCACGTACTTGCCTCTGCTGCTCGTCCTCGTGGCCAACCCCATCCTGTTCCGAAAGACAGTGACTGCAGGTAAACCCAGGGAAGGGCTCTGGGGGCGAGGCCGCGGCGACGGCCCCAGGCCACGGGCTCTGATCATTATCTAGGACCACGGACCTCATTTGTCATCCTCCAGACAGGAGCACAGTACAGCTGGGGAAAGTGAGGGGGTTTAATAAACGATGGGGAGCGCGCCTACTCAACTATGGGCTGTACGAGTCCTTGGCCAACGTCTGCCAGCTCAAAGCCGGGACCAGGGGACGTTTCACTTCTGTCTGGGCTCCTCCTGAGTCTGCCATGGGCGCGCCCCAGAGGACCCGAGTGGCCTTGGAAAACTGCGGAGGGGAGACGGGATCAGGAAAGGAAAGGGCAGCCGAGGGGAAGGGATGGATGTGGACTGAGCCGTCCTGGGAGCCTGGGCCCTCCCCGTGATGTCTGGGCCTGTGTCTTCTCCCACTTGGGCAGTAAACAGGAAGGAGAGCACAGGAAGTGAGTCAAATGCATCAGGAAGAACTGGGTGAAAGGGATCTTGTGAGTCAGCAGAATGCACTGGACAGACCTCCCGGCCAAGGCAGGGGACCTGCATTCCAGCCCCCATCCCATCCTCAAGGAAACGTGCCCCGAGGCAAGTCTCCAGGCCCCTCATGCCGCCCTGTGGGTCCCTCACGGGCAGAATGAGAAGAAAGAAACACACCTTAACAGAAAGGTCACTTGATGATCAGCTGTGGGTTGCAGAAATTGAACCTAAGTGAAGTGCTCTACCACTAGGGAGAGAAAAATCACTGCAGCTCTTTGCATATCTGCATTTAAAACTAGTGTGCTGTACACCTGAAACTAACACAACATTGTAAATCAACTATACGCCAATAAAAATTAAAAACAAAAAACCCCTCCCCCCAAAAAGCTAGTCTATTAAATATAGCTTTTTTTTTTTTAACAAAATTGCATTAAAAAATAGTGATTTGATTACATCAAACAAATGAAAATGACTTATAGAATAAAGACCGGAAGGAAATACACTAAGATGCTAACGATGGTTGTCTCTGGGTGAACTACGGGTTATCAATTCTTTTCTAAACTTTTTTGTATTTTCCAACTTGTCTACAAGGATAAATGTCAAATCTTTCAACATTTTACAATAGTGAGCATGCATTATTTTTATAGTAAAAAATATAAACCGTAAACACATATAGTTCCCGAACTAGTAAAACCCAGATAAAATCCAGAGTGTAGTTAACAGCACTGTACCAGTGTTGACTTCTTCATGGTGACCAATGTGACTATGGTTGTGTAAGATGTTAACTCTGGGGACAAATGGGTGTAGGTATACGGGAACTCTCGGTACTGTCTTTGCAAATCTTGTGTAAATCTAAAGTGATTCCATAGTAAACGTTTAAAAACTCTATATTCCCGTGAGTCTCCAAGAAGTCCCACGTGCAGGTGGTGAGGAAAGCACGGCCGGGTCTCGCTGGGCGTCACGGTCTCCTGGCTCTGCTTCGGAGCTCCCACCTGCTTTACTGCCCTTCCTTTGCACGCAGGAAACGTAAATAACGAAATGACGTGCTGTTCCCCTCTGCTCTTTACAGTGGCCTCTTTACTAAAAGGAAGTCAAGGAGTTTACACGGAGAACGAGAGGCGGATGGGAGACGTGATCAAGACCCGATTTTTCAAAATAATGCTGGTTTTCATTATTTGGTAACCTTTCTTCTTTTTTTAAAAAACTGTCCCTGGGAAGGGAAATGCAAACCGCCTGTCATTTGCTTTTCCAAGTGTGACCTGAAAGTTCCAAAGGGAAGAGTCTTCGGAGAGGAAATTTTTGAAACTTGTGCTAGGTGCCTTTGGAGGAAATGCTTGCGAGACAGGAAGGCAAGTCTACCATCCGTGAACTTCTGGAAAGCTATTCACATCTACTCAAACTACATAAAGAGCCCTAAGAACGAAAAGTCCCGAGTTTAGTTTTGATGCGTCCCTCCCATATGCCTCCGGAGTTTTGCCCCGTCGCTGGGGTTAGCATTTAAATCAAGTGCCTTCTAAGTCCACCCATTGGCAGCAGGCTTTTTTTTTTTTTTTTTTTTTGCCACGCAGCATGTGGGATCTTAGTTCCCCGACCAGGGATCGAACCTGCACGTCCTGTAGTGGAAGCGTGGAGTCCTAACCACTGGACCACCAGGGAAGTCCTTGCATCAGTCTTGACACCAGGATTCCTGTATCTGACAAGATACAAGGGCAAGGGCCCATCTTTAGTGTTATGACTCACCGCTCAGGCAAGAAGGGTAGAGAGTGGGACTTCCCCGGCGGTCCAGTGGTTAGCACTCCACACTTCCACTGCAGGGGACATGGGTTCCATCCCTGGTTGGGGAACTAAGATCCCACAAGCTGCGTGGCACGGCCAAAAAAATAAAAATAATAATAAAAAAGGAAGGGTAGAGAGCAATCTTCCTGTCCTCAACTGTCCACGCACCCCCATTCCCCCACCCACCCCCCCTCCCACCACAGGTGTCCTGCCCCAGCGTTTCAAGTGGGTGTGCTGGGCATAGACCTGTGACCAATGCAAAATCGACTGGAATCAGGAAACACTTCGCTGTGGTGAAGCAATGCTTCGCGAGACAGGGCACGCCTTTGTGGTGTTAATAATTGATGTGATGCGAGCAGGTTTGTTTGCACAGTCTCCTACGAGAGACGTACATTAGCTCCGTCTAAAAATACACCGAGCTTGTGGTTTCAAACGTCACCTCCCTGCCAAGAATAACCTCAAAAAATTCAAACATAAAATGTCAAGATTTGTTTTGGTCTCCATCAAAACATTAGCTTACTCTTCAGAGGAAGGATGAACTCTGGGTTATTTGACATGTGCTAGAACCTTCCACCTGATGTGGTGTTGAGTGCGACCATCGGAAGGATATGTTGGTCTCTGCTTTGGGCTGAGAGGGGTGGCATGTCTTACGTCAGGTTCTTGGTGTGCTGCGTCCTCCTTGCTGCTAAGCAGCACTGCCCCCGCCCCAGGACTTCTAGGTGTCGGGAGGCATGTTCCCTGACCCCCAGCGTTAAAAATGAATTGTGGGGGCTTACCTGGTGGCGCAGTGGTTGAGAGTCCGCCTGCCGATGCAGGGGACACGGGTTCGTGCCCCAGTCCGGGAAGATCCCACATGCCGCGGAGCGGCAGGGCCCATGAGCCATGGCCGCTGAGCCTGCGTGTCCGGAGCCTGTGCTCTGCAACGGGAGAGGCCACAACAGTGAGAGGCCTGCGTATCACAAAAAAAAAAAAAAAAAAGAATTATGTCACATGTTCTCTTCACCTGTGGGCCATTTTCTTTCTAACAGTTGGGTGTCGAATATCATCAATGAAAGCCTTTTATTCTATCTTGAAATGCAACCAGATATCAATGGAGACTCTTTGAAACAGGTCAGAAATGCAGCCGAGACCACATGGTTCATGATGGTAGGTCTATCTTAATTTAAAATGTTCTTCCTAAAGAAAGAAAAAAAAAAAAACAGAAGGGATAAAACCACTCAGAAGTATGATCTATATGTTATTTAAATATGCAGGGAGTTGAATAGGTTCCTGGGATGCTAACATCTGGCCTGGGTCCACGAGCTAGCTGTTTTCATTCAGTGTTGGGGTCATTATTAAATGGACATGACTCTGGTAAATCAACTTGGCAAGTGAATCAAACCTTTCAGGCTGATTTAAAATATCAGGGAATTTCTCTTGAAGAAATGTTTCAGACTGAAAAAACCATAGGGATGTAGGTATTGCTTATAACATTGTCCGTAATTATAAAGCATTATAGGTAACCCACATTGTTTTAAACAAAAGGGAACGGTTAAGTTAACGATGGTCTTTGATCTTGAGGAATCTTATGCCGATGTCAAAGATGACAGTGTAAAAAAATGACAATTGTGAAATCTAGTGTTCCGTGAAACATGCAAGATCTAATAATTATACTGATTTCAACTACCTAGTAACACGTGCATGAAAAAATATTGGCGAGAAATACACAAAATCATGATAAGGTGGAAAGAGCATGGGTCGCTTTCCTCAGTGTTTTCATTATATTGCATTTCCAAATACAAAAATCCACGCACGAGCTGTTAGTGGAGAGATGCACGGTGCCCTACACGGAATTAAAATGCATGTTGCTTCAGAGTCGGGGGAAAGCTGACGCAGGAGGGTAAGACCCACACTGCCTGCCTCCACCCCTGCCCGTGCCGTGGTCACGTGCAGGGACCACACGTAAGCAGAGTTTCCTGGACTGACAGGCTCAGGTGCCTTTGTGCAGTCACATCCTAACAGGGGCGCGAGGGGCAGGGCCCCGAGTCCCTGCGAGGGAGCACGGCCACGGGCCAGAGGTGAGACAGCCCGGCTGGGCCGCGCAGGGCCTTCCCTCTCCCGCCTTCCCCCTGGTCTGACTCAGGTCCTCTCCCCACCCCACCTCCTGTGTCTTCAGGCACCTTTGAGGGCCCAGCACCGCCAGCCAATCTGTCTCGCCCCACACCGGCCAGTGGGGCAGGTCGCAGTGAGGCCAGCCCAGCGGGCCCCGAGTCACCCTGGGAGCACCCAGTGCTCTGATTCCCACCGTCCCACCCTGACTCACCCCTGTCTCTCTGTCCTCCCTGCCAGGGGATACTGAATCCAGCCCAAGGGTTCCTGTTGTCCCTGGCCTTCTACGGCTGGACAGGCTGCCGCACGGCTTTTCAGGCTCCCAGGAAGGAGATCCAGTGGGAATCGATGAGCACCTCGGCCGCCGAGCGGAGTCCCCCGTCCCTGAGGGGCTCCCGTGAGCCCCGGGAGAGCCCCGCTGCCAGGAAGGAGGTGCGGGCCGGCGGGCACACTTCCGACGAGGCCGTGAGCCTGCTGTCTGAAGGTAAGAGCCCCTCCGCCAAGGCAGGCGAACGGCGGGGCCCCTGGCTCCCCTGGAAGTGCTTTATCAACGGCCACGTGGCTGGTGCATAGCATTTCCGTCCTGATGTCTGGAACCTGCTTCAAGGCGAGAGTGGAAAGTGAGAGCGTTAGGCCTCATCGCGTCATCCACCTCTCCTTTTACTATGACAGTGGTACCTTTTCTCTAGTTATTAAGCACCGTAGCCTTGTAATAATTATAAGCGGCTCCACCTTGGGCTGCACGGCCTTTTGAATAGGAGCAAAACTGCCACTTCAAACCCGTTGCGAACGTTTGCCGTAAGACAACGAACGGTACGACCTGTCGCGAACGTTTGCCGTCAGACAATGAATGGTACGACCTGACCTCGGCAGCTTTTAGATGCCGGTTGGTCTGTCCACCTCATTCGGGGACATTTAAGGGAACACGCTGGTCGTCTGGTGCTGGCTCTTCTGATCTGCCCTTTTCATTTCAAGACGCTAGCACTGTGGTCCTCAGATGGGTCCTGTTTTTAAACTCCTGTTTAATCTGATTTGGGGTTATGTCTATTAACCCAGCCGACAAGGAGGAAGAAAGTTCAAGGCCCCAATAATGTCTCTCTAAAGATTGCCGTCTACTAAACCTATTACATACATTTTATATTTATATATTCATATATACTATTTATATATATAAATTTATATATATTTATATATATAAATTTATATATTTATAAAATACATAAATAAACTATTATATGTACTTTTCATTAAACATACTGTAACCTTATAATTTATCATTTGCTCTGTATTCTGAATTTACTCTTACAAAAAGCTCACTTACATTCTACTCAAGATGGGTAATGAGAGAGAAAAATCACTAGACCTATGATCCTTATTCCTAACGAAATCTCAGGGACTGTCATGGTTATGATAACTGATTAATTTTACTGTCCCTGGTCTATGCAGACCTTTATTCCCTTGAAAGATTCTTCTTGAGCAGACATTTTGCTGTTAGCATTGAGTAACAAGACTGGAAATTCTTTACAAGAAGCGGACACATGTTTGCAGCACCTCTTCTGGGGGTCGGGGGGTTGATTCCCACAAATGCTGCTTGGGGAGGAGGCCACCCCATGCCCTCCTTCTGTCCCCACTGAGGCCCTGAAGCCCCTCCCTCTTCCCACTTTATTACACTGGGGCTGGTTGCAAATGCTTTTAACCAGAATGCATCACCCTGCAGCCCATGTACCGTCTTGCACTCATGCGTGACCACTGCACGTGGTAAGGGCCCAACAGTCGTTTGTAATAATTATGTTAAATTACACATTTTTGATGGGAAATTAGTTCTAGAAGGCCTAAGAGTAATTAATTGTAAGCTGTAAAGACTTCTTAGACATAGATTTAAAGAATTCTTAGTAACATAAGAGTTGGTGTACTATGTCAATATATCTCACAAGAGCTGGGGAAAAAGAGTTGAGATCTTCTTAACCAATTTTTTTAGTAAGACTTTATAATGAGTAAGCACTTTCTTTGAATAAAAGCAACATTTGTCAAGCTTGTTAGAAGCAAGGTGACATATGGTCTAAGTATAAGAAATGGACTTGCTACACAGGAGCCATGATGACACCCTCCAGGGAGGGCTCGTGGCTTCTGGGCGCAGGACTGTCCATCTCGGCTTCCTCCAAGTGAGCTAAGGACTACAGCCCTTCCTGCAAATCTCACTCGGT